TAGGGGCAGGGGCAGGAGCAGGGGCGGGGACGGGGCAGGGGCGGGGGCGGGGGGTCCAGAGCGAGATGCGCGTGGTCTGAATGCCCTGTGGCCTCTCAGCCGATTTCTTCACCGTGAAATAGGAATAATCAAGGCATTAGTTTTCCACTGCTGCTGTAAAGAAATTACACAAGCTAAGTGGCTTGAAGCAACAAACATTTATTATCCTATAGTTCTGAGTTAGTCCGACAGGGCTGGTTCTTTCTAGAGGCTCCAGGGAAGAATCCATTTCCTGCTTTCCCGCTTCTAGAAGCCGCCTGCATTCCTTGGCTCGTTGCCTCTCTCTGGCCAGCTGGGAAAGGTCCTCTACAATCCAGGATCATGACTCCATCACAAGATCCTCAACTTAATCACATCTGCAAAGATGCTTCTGCCACGTAAGGTAACATATTCACAGGTTCCAGAGGTTACGACACCCCATCTTTGGAAGGCCATTATCCTGCCTACCACAATTCCCAAGCTGCAGAGTTCTGATGAACACTAAATGAGGTACTGCAGATGCACACCAGCGCAGTGCTTGACACAATAAGTGGCAATAACCAGTACTTTACTGTCTTGTTACATCTAAGGAATTCTAAATTGGGGGATGGAAGTCCCTGCTCCCAGGAGGCCCATGGCCTGGGGAGGAAGGGTGGGAGTAGTGGGGTGGCCCACACTCATCATTACTGCACCAGCCACTATCTGGACTCCACAGAGGGCATCTTTACTTTCATTTTCGGCACTGTTCAAATAGGACAAGATTCCACGAAAAACTTTGACAAGGGACAGGGATTCCTCCATCACTAGTACCATTCAGGGCCAGTAACTACAATGTCCTGCAGTTCATGCCCCGAGGAAACCAAATCACAGCATTGAGTAATAGAACAATCACAATCTTTTCTTTCTCCCTGCATGAAACAGTGCTTTGCCACCCTGGCTGCATGGGGGACCATTTAAAAATAGTGACCCTGGCCCCATCCACTCATTTTCTTCCAGCTGGGTGGAGAATCCCCCTTGGGATTTTTTTGGATTATACCTTTTTAAAAATTTAATGTCCATCAGGGTTGAGAACCACTAACCTAAAAGGATCACAATTTTAAATTTATTAAATTAAACCTCTATGAATTTAATTATCACTGAGGGCTGAAAGTTGCAGACTAAAATATGTCCAGCCAGAACAAGAGGCCTGGGCAACTTGCAAAGTGCTCTTCTTAATTTTGTAAAACATGTTCTTGCCTACCCCCATCCCCCAAATGCAGAACAATGTTGCAAGCAATGCTCCATACTGTTTGAAAAGTTTCTCAAGATTTTTTTTTTTTTNCCCTCGGCGGGAGCGCCGCTGCGCTCCCAAGCAGCGCACTGTACCAGTGCACCACCGGGCCAGCCCCTCAAGATCATTTTTAAATGGACCTGGTACTTTTTTTTTTTTAAGTAGCAGGTTAATTTTGAAACAAAACATTAGTTAACACACTTTTAAAACAGAAAAATCTGCAATAAAATCTATAATTCTATAAAGCAAGAAATGTCAGTTTTGAGAAATGACATCCAGATTGGCAATGTGTCTCATGGTCGGCCTTCCATGGGGACAGTTCCAGGGGTGGTCCATCTCCCCCATATGGGTGATGAGTTTCTTCATCTCGCTTGTGTTAAGAGCAGTTCCAATCATCACCTGAGTATGAGACACAACGGTTTAAAGTTTTACTGTTTTTTGGTTCGAACAGCAACTTCTCTAAACTAAGATTGAATCAAGATTACAATTCAAAAACATCATTCCCTGGAAAACCTGTCCCCAAAGAATCCTACCTTGTCATATCTCAGCACTCCACCTTCTTGTGAAACCCAGGCCCTCTTTGGCTCCTTCATGGCAGCATCACCTCTACCCGAGATGCAGACCAGACCTGTCTAGCATCCAACCACTCTCAGCAGCTCCACTACGACCTCCAGCCCAGCCACCCTGACCTCTCACTGCTGTCCCTCGTGCCCTGCCAGCTTCTCTCCACTCAGCAGACAGGGATTATTTTTAAAGGTAAGCCAGAGCATGGCACTTGTCTTCAATGCTCTCCCCTCTCCCCTAAGGAAAATCCCAAGTCCATAACCTGGCATGGCCCTCCCTGGCCTCTGTGCCTGTACCTCCAAGCACCCCCCACCTCCTGCCCTCACTTGAGCCACACTGGCACCCCTCCTCTT